CTTTCTAATTTCCTACTTCTATCTCTTGTTATATATTTTTCTACAAGCTCTATCTTTTTTCTTAAGCCTGTAAGGTTAGTTTTGGCAGCTGTTTTTTAGCAAACTTCTAAAGTATTTTTCTACAGTTTTGTGTACGAGTGATCAGTGGGGAGAGGATGTTTTTAGATTATTGATATAGTTTAAATTATATTTAGTTAACATGTATTAGATATAACTATTTTTTTTCTCATTTCTTAAAAATATTTTGAATATTAAGTGAGTTGTATCTTCTAAGCCAATTATAGTATTTTAAACTTAAAAATTTCTGCATTAAATATATTCTAACTTTATTAAATCATTATGTCAAATAATACTAATAATAAAACTGATCAAAGTGAAACACTTGCTTAATTATATAAAGCATTTTTATATAAGAAAAAGAATATAATAGCTATTCAGAAAAAACTCAGTATTAATAGTAATGCAAATTAAATGGCAGTACATTAAAGCAATAAAGCAAAAAAACTTGCTAATTCATATGAACTATTGTTAGTGTTGATAGAGAATTTAATACTAATACAAAAAAATCTTGATATTGGAGGTTATCTTATTTTAGCAGTAAAATATCAAAGCAATAAAGCTTTTACAGATATATTACTTAGAAAATATATAATTTGCTTTTATATTTAGAGAAGAATATAATAGAAATTTAGGAAGAACTTGGTATTGTCAGTTATTTTAATAAAGAAAAAGCAGAAAAAGCTAATAAAAATACTTGGTATTGTCAGTTATTTTAATAAAGAAAAGGCAGAAAAAGCTAATAAAAATACAAGAGTATATTTCTGAAAGTTTAAGAAATTCTATAGTTTACTAGAAGACATCCCAAATATATTAATACAGAAATTTATTAATAAGAGAGTAAAAATAGTTTATTTTATGAGAGAGAGGCTTCTATTATTTTCAAAAGTTATTTTTTAACAATTGCATGAAGTTTTTATAAAAAATTCAACTAGCACAGACTAATGTTTATATTTAGAATAAGTTAACTAAGTTATATACTATGTAAAGCTAAAAGAAAAAATGTAATTTTTAATGATATCACATTTGAGTTCTTAGATAAAGATAAAGACAAGTTTCTAATTAAATCTAAATCTAATAATAAATTTGATATTGAGGTTAGTAGATATGTATTAAAAGTAAAGAAGCATAGTTAGTTTTTATTCTCAAAAATTTTTCTATATATATTTATAATATCATCTAAACTACTATTTTTATTTTGGGCTTAGGTTAACAAAAAAATATAATTTAATAAATAATATTTAGCTTATTTATGCAATTAGTTTTCATTGAAGAGCTCAAATGCTTTTGCCTAATTATATAGTTCTCCTTTTCTTTGCATATTGATTATAATATATCTCTTAGATAAAGAAGCATAGTTATTAGGTAAATGCTGAAAGGCTTCACTAGCATAAGTGTTAGCTTTTAACATATTTTTAAATCTATATGTTACAAAAAGCAAATATTGTCTCTAATTTGCATAAAGAGCTAAGAAGTAGTAATTTACTATTTTCAAAAATAAATTCATCTTTTTTCAGAAATGTACTTAAGTACATAGATCCAAGTTTTCTTAAATCCCTTAACTTCTTGAAAATGATTGCTTTTTAAATTCATGTAAGTAATTCTCTTGCCTGCTCCTTATTCTTTTTCAGTAATCTAAATACTCAAAGAATATCTTATTGATCTTAGTTTTTTGTATATTCTGTTACAGCCCTATTAGATATATATAAGTTTTTAATTTCAGTAAGATGAATGCAAAGCATTATTATTATATCAGCTAGGGTTTGCTTGTTGGGTATATTAGATATATCATACAATTCCAGTTTTTTCTTAACTAATTCTAACAAGAAATGGTTTAAAAAATCAATCTCTTTATTTTTATGTTGTTCATTATGCTCTTTTTGAACTTTATTAGATAATCTGATTACCTCTGAATTCAATGTAGCAAAACCTATTTTTTCTGAAGCATTGAGGACTTGTAATTCTTTTTAAAGCCTAATAAAGCAACAACAGGATTTGGAGTAGTTTCAACTAAGGTTCTAGATATTGCTTTTACATCTTTTTTACTAAGTTTATCTTTTATAATATGCTAAGCTGTTTCTTTAATTGTTTCTTTAGAACAAGTACTATTAGATACCTGACATATATTCACTTCTTCAGCTTCTAATCTTTCTTCTTTAAAAAATGCTTGACTTTTACATTACCTGATTTTCTAAAAAGAAATTAATGCAAATATCTGCTCTTTGTTAAGTCATATTCTTTATAAGATAATTACAAGCCTGGTGCCTTTTCTCTTTATTATCTGTTAAGAGCTCAAGTATTTTTGATACATATTAGCTAAGTTCTTTGAGACTCATCTTAGTAGTAAGTTGTAATCTGTAATGAACTTGGTTGTAATAGCAGATATAATATGATATATAGAATATAAGTAATAGTTAGATTAATCTATATTTTTAGATTATATATTGTAGGAAAAAGTTCAATTCGAAAAAATATTTTGATATCTAAAAAATAAAAACTAATAATTTAAAATTTTATATTATCTAATTGTAAAAAACAAAAAATTTTATCTCTACTAATATTCATTGATCTGCTCTTATTTGTTCTTATTAAAACATACTGTTCTTTTGAAGTATGCTTACTGTTTTTTTTTATTTCTTATTAGTATCAAGCCATGAAATTGTCATGCCATTATCCTCAAGTCTACAACAGATAATTTCTTCTTCTATTAATCTTTTTTGTACTGTTATGTCCATATATTCATTAGAGTTTTCTTCTACTTTTTTTGTGTAATTGCATATCTGAGAATCAGTTTTTATCCTATTCTGAAATGTAATGGAATCAAGCCTATCTTTTTCTGTGATAGTTATGAATATGCTGGGATTCTTATCAAGTTCAATTGCCTTTTTTCTAAAGCACTCTTTATGTTGAGCTCTGAATAAGAGAATGAAAAGGCTAAGAGACACTTTGTATAATATCTTATTATTGAACTTAATAGATTTAAAAGGTTTCTTAATTTCAGCTTTATCAATTATTGGCTTAAATGGTTTAGAAATCTTAAAAGTTTTAGATGTCTCAAACATTAAGGCAACTGGTTTTGTCACATAGTTGAAAAAAGCTTAAGTCAATTTGTTCTGTTTATTCAATTTTTTTTCTAGCTAAAGTGGGATTATTTTTTAGAAAATAGTTTCTAGCATATTGAATATAGATATATCTATGGTCTTATTGGCTAGCAACTCATCTTGAGGTATATCATAAAATTCTTCTATATTATTTAAGCCAGATTCACAAAGCTTTATTATGATCTTAGAGCAGTTAAGTATATATTGTTACTCTTTTTTTCACCTTTTACTTGTTTTTGTTTATATTCAATAATATTTTTTTCTAATAGCTTCTTGCTAAAAATGTTGTTAAAAATAGCTTTTCACTATTATCTTTATACTATTCAAGATATTTTTAATATAATAATGTTTAACTTGTTCTAACTATACTATTCATAGCCCAAAATTCAATATAGTTAATTATAAATCAAATAAGATTGAAAAGTTGGTCTTGCATAGTTTCTATCTTTATTTAGTTAAAGGAATCTTATATGGCTTCTATTTTAAGAGATTAAAACTAAATAAATATAACATAAAAGATTTAGGCATATTGAAGTACTTAAGAATTCCTTCTAACTGATTGTAATATATAAAAATATTTTTATAGCAAGAGGAGACATCTAAATATACAATATATTTATTTCTGTCTTTACTTGAATTGAAGCATTATGATTACTTAAAACTATAAATCTAGTATAATAATTGCAATCTTAAGATTCAAGGCCTTTACACTTAATTGAAACATAGTTTTCTGTAATAAGAGATTTTAAGTGATCATTTGCCTTATGCTACTTACTGTTAGCCATTCTTGCTTCATTCATAATAATAAGTTTTTATGTTTAAATAGGGCTATTAAATTATCCAAAAATCTTTTCTAGATCAGAAATAAATAAACAAGCTCTGGTCTGAATAAGCTTTTTAGATAAAATTGGTAATAATATATTTTTTACATCAAAGTAAAGAGCATAAAACAAGAATAGTTTCAAAAATTATATTTGAATACTAAACTAGAAATGCAAACCATTTCAGAACATATTTGGAAAATTTTTTATCTTAATTGTACCAAATATTTATTATATGCCAAATAATTAGATTTACTAGCTCATAATTAATATAAGAAGTCAGCTTTGCTTTGAATTCTAGGAAAAGATTGAAGAATCCAGTTTTTAGTAGAATAGCATTTAAAGAATATGATAAAAAATTGATATCTGCATAAGCAATCAAACTATTGTTAAATGCATTTTCTATTAAAGATTGTAATTTTATTGCCTTTTTACCAAACTCTATGATATTAATAATTAATTTACCAATATCTATCTTAGATTCTATATTGAAGTATAAGCCATTATCTGGTTTTTTATACTTCAAAATTCATGTTTTCATATTTTTTTAAATGCAAGCAATTATTGCTTAAATTGCATTGTATACTTTATTACATGTAAATCTATTCTTTTTTTTTTTATTGTATAATATCAAGTAGGAAAAATAGTAATATATAATATATCAATTGGATATGATTGTATAAATAAAATATTTCTAAATTACACTATTGTTACTATATACTAACAACATCTAGCATAATATTAATCTTTAGTTTTTTGTTTTAGTTAAGTCAACTATTGTATTATTAACTACAGAAAAGTAAAAAAAACCCTTTAAATCTATTCTTAGAGGTACACATGAATATTAATCCCATTATATGAAATAATTGTTAAGGTTTATCACTCTAGATTAGTCTAATTTTACTAAACTCAGAAGCTTCTTTTTTCAATCCAAGACAGATTTACTAATAGTGAGTTTTTTTGAAGGTTTTGTGAAATTGGGTTCCTTATAATTGTTTGTCTAGTAGTAGAAAAAGCTATATAATTTTTTATTTTATATTATATAAGCATTGTTACTATTATATTCCTAATCACATATTAGGCAGTGTAATGAAGAAATGCATAATAATAGAAATTTATTAAAAAAATTTTTAAATGAATATGAGAAACTATACTTTTTAATGCAAGCTTTCTGAAGTAATATCTCTACTAGTTTAAATTTAGCTATAGTTGTCTTATTTCTGTTAATATATTTTATATTTTCTATCTTTGGAACAACCAAGAGAGAACTGTTGTTAATTATTTCTAATTTATTATTGGGTAAGCAGATTATAAAGTTAAAGACAGATCCATCTTTTAGATAAATAGCTTTTTTCATATAAATTTGTTTTTTCATTTTTTTATTATATTTGGACAAACCAAGCATTTTTAATAAAAATGAAGATTTGTTCACTATATTATTAATAATACCATTTGCCTATAGAGCCATTAGAATTTTTTTACAAACAAGCTTAGTAAAGATAGTGATCTAAGCAATATTTGGAAGTCTCATGCCAGTAGTAGAGATGTGAAGAGACATTTTTTTGCATCATTACTATTTGCAATAACTATAGTTTTAGGATTCCACTTTAGAGATATCTCCAAACATATCTTTTTAAAAACAAGAATAAGTAAATCTAGTACCTCTTTACATGTTAGCTTAAACTCAATACTATTAAGCACTTTTTGTAACAAATCAAAGTCTATAATAAGTCAGAGTGACTTATTATTATCAATAAATTTATATAAAGAATAACTTTTATAATCTGAGAGTATAGCTTTTATTTTATTCTTATTATCTGTATTAAGAAAATTTCTTGGTCTAACAGTATCATTATAAATTTTATATAGACATTAACCTATATTGAAGACTTTAAATTCACAATAGTACAGGTCAGAAAGGATGTTGAGAAACTCTGAAAGCTTTGAATGTTTAGTTATTTTTTCTTAAGCAATTCAAGATAATTTATAGTTATACCAAAACTCAAAATATAGTATTCACAAGAAAAAAGTTTAAAATAAAAATTATTCTCTGATATTATTAATAAATATATACAAATAAAAGGTAAAAAAAAAGAGAAACAATCTCAGACTGAAGGTACTAAAACAAAGAATCTATCTTAAAATTTTTATTATTGTTTATATATACTTGGAACTAAAGAAGTATACAATCAGAGATGCTATGATCTAAAGGAATATAAAGTCTATCAGAATTCTAGACAAGTTTCTTATAAAGAATATGATAAACTAACAAGATCCAGATATGACTATTGCAATATATATGCAAAAAAACATAGATCAAGAGAACATTATCATTGAAAAAAGCAAGTTAAGTTAACATCAGCAGAGATACTAATAGAAAATTTAGAGGTAAACAAAAATAATACAACATAGTACTAGTAGATTCTAAAGAAATTGTGTCACTAAAAAAAAAAGCTAATAACAGAAGCTAGTAATACAAATAATAGGCTCTTTAGAAATTTTAGACTAAAAAAAAGTCTTCTTGATGGATGTTACTAATGTTACTAATATTACTAAAAAAAATCTGAGTCTCTTAACTTTTTATTTTTTATAGCATATATATACTACATATATATTATATATTCATTATATTATATTTCATATAGACCATAGAGATAGTATTAAAAATATTTGAGAGTATAGTGACCTAGTGAAGTGGTCAGATTGTCAACCTCTCAAGTGGTAAGTTGGGTGTTCAAATTCTATTGATGGTAAAAAAATTGGATAATTATCTATGTAATATTCATATTATGGCAACTGTTACTAATGATTGAGTTAGGATACCTGAAATGTCAGTCGCACCAGCATAACTGACAGGTCATGAGGCATCTGTACAATGTTGAAGTTCCACAGAGGAATGCAAACTGACAGATTGGATGGTGCAAACACTAGATAAGTCCTTGTGGTCATGTAAATTTGTTAAAATTAGATAACAAGAAGTCTATTTAAGAAGACCTAAGTAGAGAGGTAGCTGGATCTTTGACAGTCTTACTGTAAAGGCTAGCCTAGGGAAATGAATACCAAGGTCTAGTACTCAGTTGTAGTAGTTAGACAGGCAAGAACCTCTGGGTTAGAAGTCTCAGTAGTACTACCAATTAGGTTATCAGAATGAACCAGAAGAAAAAGATATCAGGCTGACCTGATATACCAATGGACTGGTCATAATTCTACACAGGCTA